TAGAGTCCCCAGCTGCTCCATCTCTCCATGTCATCATCTCTGCCTCCATCTCTGGCGTCAGTGTTTCTCTGGGTAGGGTCCCACACTCCGCTCTTCTCCCTTGATGGTCCCAGGGACCTCCGTTCTTGGCCTGCAAAGTCAACTACTCCCCTCCTTTTGCTACAAAAATCTACCTTCACATTTCCAACCCTTAGAATCATTCCTGCTAGTAATTATTCACTGTTGTACCACATGAGTGCTATTCCCATCTCCTTTCATCAGCCCGCCCAGACAGATTGGATACTAGTCAGTGTACACTCCATTATTCTTGCAATTAATGCCAGCATCTGGCAGAATCCATCCATGTTGATGTTGCTCATTAAACTCAGAATTAGACCAAAACAGTGGTAGCAGTACACCAAGGTTGACTGGGTCAGTTAGCTTTCTTGGAGAAGTTGCCCAAAGATTGGCAAGTTCAGATTCACTGTCCTTTCTCATCAAAATTGACCACCGTGCCTCAAACATGGGGAGGAAAAGAGAAGCCCAAGGAAAGAGCAATGAAAGGAAGAGAGCTACTGAGTGCCTGCCTCATTTTCCCTGCAGGACTATTGGAGGAGGACAATGTCAAGGAGAGAGAACATTGTCTTTGTGGTCTTTGGGATGCCAGTTGATCATGGTGCTGAGCCCTCAGGTCTGAAGGGGACTTAATATTTCTGATACCAGTGATTCTAAAACTTTAATTTTATATATGAGAATCACCAAGGCAGCTTGCTAAAGCATAGATACCTCCGCACTAAAAATACAGATCACCACTCCACTAGAGATACTATTTGAATGGGTTGGTTAATGTCAAAGAATGTGCACTTTTAGCATCCTGGGTATCTTGACACAGGTGTTAATTTAAAAAAAAAAAAACCCACATTTTTAGTAGCAGTGCTTTTTCCTGAGATAAATATTTCAGAATCACGGCCTTCGTCTTTTTTTGACCACTCTGAGGCTACCGACAAAACACTAGCGTAAAGGTAATGGTTAATTAATATGTAGTTAATTTTAATTTGGGACATGTCTATCAGTATAATTTTCTGTGAGAGAATAAGAGATTTGAGGCATTACTATAATTTTTAAGTGCCATCTTAGCATATCTAGAAGTTGCTCCAGAGAATAACTTGTTGAAAGGGTTAGTTTTATTTTATAGGAATCTATTCCTGTAAAAGGAACCCTGGTGGCACTGTGGGTTAAGCATTGGACTGCTAAATGTAAAGTTGGCAGTTTGAACCCACAAACTGTTCCACAGGAGAAAGATGAGGCTGTCTGCTTCTATAGATTTACAGCCTCGGAAACCCTAGTGGGTCGTTTTGCTCTGTCATATAGGGCCTCTGTGTCGCGTTGTGGGTTAATGCACCAGACTGCAAAGCCATTTGAGCTGCAAAGTCGGCGGTTCAAGTTTACTAGCTGCTCCTTGGAAACCCTACATAGGGTCGCTGTAGGTCAGAACTGACTCAATGGCACTTAACAACAAACTAGGGCTGCTGTGGGTCAGAACAGCCTCAATGGCAGTGGGTTTCTTGTACTCACATAAGGCACGGAGGGAAGGTCTGTGGATTTCCTGTCAGATCACCTGGTAGCCTAGGCTGGGTCAGGAGTGATAGTTCCCCGCAACCTAGCTACAGTGAGTCTGTTCTAAAATGTGGCTTATATAATCACTGTCTGTAAGGCGTCCCCATGTGGTGCTGTGGGATAAGCACTAGACTGCTAACTGGAAGGTCAGCAGTTCAAACCCACTAATCACTCCTTGGAAACCCTTTACAGGGTTGCTATGAATCGGAACTGACTTGATGGCACTGGACAACAGTACCATCTTTAAGCTGGAATTTCTATTAAGGTAACAAATTTCTATTTGGGTTCCAGTTCACATTATTTACTTTCCACATAAAGTAGAACATACTGTGGATGACGAAATGGAGAGGTCAGGTTCCCATTTCTCTGCACATTGTCTGTCCTAATTATCTCGGCCAAGACAGTGAGCCTAAGATAAGGAAACAGAGGGAGAAGACTGAAATCAGGAAGAGGGGACACATGTGACTCCCTGGGGCCACTTTTCAAATGGAGGATTTGGAACGTCAAACAGTGCTATCTATTGCTATTGGTCGGTGCCTTCCCAGGAC